AGTTGTTTTTGACACAGCTCGTGTGGCTCACAACTCCAATATGTTTCAATCATACTTATAAATATCATCTCACTTAACCATCATTTTATATACGAGACATCATGCATGTTGTATGTTTATATGATCATGAATTACTTCTATAATTCTGTAATGTACAAACCCACGCACTCGTGATATTATTTGTACTCTTTTCTTTTCCATCCGTTTTTGGCAACGTGAGTGTACACTTGCCTATAGTTAGATATAGGGGTACACATTGAGTTTGTCTAGTGATTCTACGTGTCGTGTGTAAAGAAGTATTATATACTTTACCGGATGCGAAAGTAGAGTCCTAAATATAAGAGATTTAAATGATGGGATCCTCAAGATCAGTGGTCCTTTTGTACCGTACGGTTTCTTTTATTTTATTTTTATTTATTTATTTATTTATTTATTTATTTATTTATTTGTCCTCTTCTCTCCCACTTGTTCTTAAACAAACTTTTTATCTTCCTAACGTCTATCTGATTTGACAGCTTTGCTGTGGTCCGTGACTGTCAGGTGACTTTTACTTTTTTTATGTCACCCACATTTTTGCCATAACAAAACTATATTTTAAAATTTGATAAGGCCACCTATGATGTTAGCCTCAGATTTATTTATAGGTGTTATATTTAATAAAGTTATAGATGATTAAATGGGTAAAGCTATATATAGCAGATTATTTACCGTCTGGTGCTATATTTAATAAAGTTATAGATGTTTAAATGGTAAAGCTATATAGCTATATATACAGTAGATGTTAAATCTGGTAAACCTATATATATCCCATCCTATTCTCTGTAATTCTTCCGGCATATACAAAAATCTTTTTAGCGAGATCTGTAATTCTTTCTGTACATACATCAATACTAAAATCTTTTTAGCCAGAGTTCTTCTTGCACTTTTCTCTATCCTGTTTATACAAAAATCTTTTTAGCTAGAGTTCTTTGCACTAAAATCCTTCTAGCCAGAGTTCTCCTTGCACTTTTCTTTATCCTGTTCTTTGTGATCGAATTTCCGATAGTTGGGAATCGAATTTCCAACACTGGCGCGTTTTTTGTCGCACTCTAGGGCGATTCCGAAATCCCGGCTCCCTCGGAGCTTGGATTTTTCATTCGGTGGCGAAAAAAATATTTCTTGGCTATGGTGGGGAATGCCTCAATTTGATGGTTGGAAATCAAATTTGCGACATCGGCGCATTTTCGGTTGCGTTCTGGGGTGGTTTCGAAATGTCAGCTTCCCGGGAGCCGAGATTTTTTTGCTCGAATGCAAAAAAAATTATTTCTTGGCATTGTGCTGGGGAATGCCCCAAGTCAATAGTTGGGAACAAAATTTTCGACACCAGCGCATTTTCGGTCGTGTTCAAGGGCGGTTTCAATATGTCGGCATTCTGTAGTCGGGATTTTTCGTGCGCATGCAAAAAAATGTATATTGGCATTGTGGTGGGGAGTGCCCCAATTTGTTGGTTAGAACCGAATTTGCGAGACCTGCGCGTTTTCAGTAGCGTTCTGGCGCGGTTCCGAAATGCTGGCTCCCTGGTGTGGAATGCCCCAATTTGATGGTTGGGAACCAAATTTGCGACATCGGCGCATTTCGGTCGCATTCTGAAGCGGTTCTGAAATGTCGGCTCCCTAGGAGATAGGATCTTTCGCGCACATGTGAAAAAAATATTTCTTGACATTGAGGTGGGGAATGCCCCAATTCGATGGTTGGGAACCGAATTTGCTATACCGGCGCCTTTCGGTCGTGTTCAAGGGCAGTTCTGAAATGTTGGCTCCTTGGGAGCCAAGATTTTTCGCGCTCATGCAAAAGAAATATTTTTTGTTATTGCGGTGGGGAACGCCCCAAATTGATGGTTGGGAATTGAATTTGCGACACCGGCGCGTTTTCGGTCGCGTTTTGGGGTGGTTCAGAAATGTCGGCTCACAGGGAGCCGAGATTTTTCGCACGCATGCGAAAAAAATATTTCTTGGCATTGTTGTGGAGATTACCCCAATTTAATGGTTGAGAATCGAATTTGCGACACCGGCGCCTTTCCGGTCGCGTTCTAGGGCGATTTCAAAATGTCGGCTCTCTAGGAGCCGGAATTTTTTCGTGCGTATGCAAACAAAAATATTTCTTGGCATTGTGGTGGGGAATGCTCTAATTTGATGGTTGGCAACCGAATTTGCGACAACAGCGTGTTTTCAGTCGCGTTTTGGGGCAGTTCCAAAATGTCAGCACCTCAAGACCGAGATTTTTTGCACGCATGCGAAAATAATATTTCTTGTCATTGTGGTGGGGAATGCCCCAATTCGATTGTTGGAAACCGAATTTGCGACACGGCACGTGTTTGGTCGCATTTTGGGACGATTCTAAAATGTCAACTCACTAGAAGCCGGGTTTTTCGCGTGCATGCGAAAAAATATTTCTTGGCATGCATTGTGGGGGGGGGGGGGGGG